GCCATACTAAGGTACATCATATGATCATGCTAAGGTACACTCTATGGCCATGTTAAGGAACACCATATGATCATGCTAAGGTACACTCTATGGCCTTGTTAAGGCACACCATATGATCATGCTAAGGTACACTCTATGGCCATGTTAAGGCACACCATATGATCATGCTAAGGTACACTCTATGGCCATGTTAAGGCACACCATATGATCATGCTAAGGTACACAATATGGTCCTGCTAAGGTACACTCTATGGCCATGTTAAGACACACCATATGATCATGCTAAGGTACACTCTATGGCCATGTTAAGGCACACCATATGATCATGCTAAGGTACACTCTATGGCCTTGTTAAGGCACACCATATGATCATGCTAAGATACACCATACGATCATGCACAAATAGAATGTAACGTCCTCTCCTGCATGGTGAAAGAAGCGATGAATCCATACCACTCCTTGAGCACCATCAGAGGTCACGCATTTCACTTGACTGACAGGGTATATTAACGTATTTCAGCTACTCCCTGTGTAACCTCGCCTTGCTCGGTGTCAGTAAATGATATATATAACCCCAGAATGTCACCCTGTGTGAACCTGTCAGTCATTCGTCCGAATCCATCTCGCTAAGGGGTAGTCTATTGATACAAGAATGTTTTGTATATTACCTTTAAACGATATGAAAAAGAATATCTGTTACACCGGTTAGAATTGATCGTCAGTAACCCATGCTTGTCGTAAGCGGCATAACGGATCGGGAGGTCAGACTCTGACTTGGTTGAGGTGAGGTGAAATTGGGTTTTACATCGTGCTTGAGAATATTTCGCTCATATCACGACGTGCATGCGTGTGTATGTGTATGTGCGTCTGCTTGTACTAGCCCAGACTTAAGCTGGTTTTATAGTGCTAGCTAACTGAGATACCACGCCGCAGTGAAGCATGAAGACCCCACTCAGACACATTATACTGACTCCGAGCCGACCAGTCGTTGTTGTACCCATTAATGCCGAGCGCCAGGCAGAGACCAACAAGTACCATATTTTGTAAAACTAAACTCTCTCACTCACTCAATCGGCAAACACCGACAACACCGCGTACGACATTTATGGCAAGTGCTATCTGTTTGGAAGCTGTTCAAAGTTTCAGTTATCGATTTCAGGCTGGTCGTAAGGCATCATAAGTCTTTTCTTGCTTCAACAGGACCTAAAGTGAGTGCATATGCCCCAATATGATGGGCCAAAATATTGTCGAAATCGTCTGACATTGTGCCTTTGAGAACAACCATATTGCCAGAACTCTCGGTTTTACAAGTCAAACTAACGAAACGCGTCAACCAGATTGGCCAGAACTGGAGGACCGAGGGCGACAACCCCGCAAGATGACTATCAGCTACGCATTCCCCATCTACGCAACCGGACATCATCAGCATCAACTGCACTGGGTCACCACAACAGCACGAACACAGTGATGAGACGACTGCGTACTGTCGGTGAGTGAGTTTGTGTCAGTTTAGTTTTACGCCGCACTCAGCAATATTCCAGCTATATGGCGGGGGTCTGTAAATAATCGAGTCTGGACCAGACAATCCAGTGATCAACAGCATGAGTATCGTACTGCGCAATTAGGATACGATGACATGTGTCAACCAAGTCGCCTCTTACGAGTACTGTCGGCATCCGGGCCTATCGACCGTTTGGGACATGTCATTGACCCGTCAACATCGACTGAATCCTCCTCTTGGGCGACGAAAGTGAGGAGGTGCGGTCCGCGTCACAACTTGGTACAGTATCGGTGGTGTTTTGACAACAAAGAATCTGTTTGTTCTTTTTAAGACACAATCGAAACACTTTTCAAAATATTTACTCTGTTTGGGGTTTTTGGGGGGGAGAGGGGTGGGGTGGTGGTGGGGAAATAACCCCAAACCACAAGGTGAGTACTTTCTTTTGTACGTCAGGGTATACAGATGTAGGAAGTCGGCGTTGATGTTAGCAAAACCCTGCTTATATCACACAATGAAACAGCAAATGAAAATATTTTCTAGAGAAGAAATATATCAGTTCGAGTTTTGGTCATTTTCGTAAACAAGAGAGAGCTAATCGTATCTCCCTCAGTAAGTACAAGTATTCTTTACAGAAAACGTGAAATATTCCTGTATTACTCTATACGGGACCAATACATATGCACACGTTGACTCTAGTGTGGTATCGGAGATGTAGAGGTAAGTTGGGTGGTTCTGTACGACCCTATACAGCACTGTGGCTACCAGACACGTTGCATACTGAATGTAACCAAGCCAACATTGAATAGAGGGTAATAAAACTTAATCAATGCTTTACACTAAAAGTGTTTCATATTCAGTATGCAAATACATGTGTATCAGACATCTCTGGAATGATCGGTCCCGCGAAACATGACGTCACAGAATATATGGTCTTTGTGTCCCGCTCGTTACTTGCTCTCACGAACAGACAGCAGCGTCTAGCTGTATACATTGGTCCGGAAACACACACAATGGTCAACCATGTGCACTTGGTCCAGTGTGTGCTTGCTGTTGATTCACACGTGCCTCGTATATGCTTAACGAACTCTGCTACAAGCATACACAATAAGCTGGCATGAATATATACAATTTATGAGTGAAGTATACAACTTGCCGCATACAATTACCATATTGATGGTAAGCTTTTGAATGTGCCTGATCCTTGCACTGCTTCAGGATACATAGGCAGGTAGCTCGCGTTCGTGTACTGACTTTCGAGTACATTCTCCCTCTAATGCACTAACACATTAACACCAGTCGCGCAGGGAAGAATCACTCCATCCCAACACAGCTGTAATACGGGATTCACGCTGGAAAATCTGGTAAATTTGTACAAATAAACAGAAAAAATTAGCGATAATAAAAACTCGGGACCAGTTTGGTGGCGGCCACCACCTTGCTTTCCAAAAGTGGAACCCCTTTTCGTTTGGGACACGTAATACTTGTTCAAAGATCAGATTCCATGAAACGAGTTTATAGGCATTTGGAGGTAAGTGTTAAAAGAAGAGATAGCTCCTTGGGTCTCTTGAAACTCTATCATGTAACTTTGATCTTGGGAGGTGTATTGAAACTTCCATATATTAAAATCGATGTAGGTCTAATGAAAGAAATATAACTCACCATAGACTGTTATAACGTTTATACATTACAGTCTTGGTCTCTAAAACTTGTACCGATTTTCGATCTGTAATCCTTATTCAAAGTTTACTTTCGATGAAAAGAATGTATACGTATTCAGAGGTAAGCGATTAAAGAACAAGAGAGAGCTTGACTGCCGTGCTGTAGTTGTAGTAAATATCTGCATTTAGATGAGGTCCACCATGCACGGCATTTGGTGAGATCTGACCAACAATGTTATGTGAAGGAACACGTCAACAAGAACTGTAAGTCTTTAATAAATAGAATTCGATATATACATACATGGATTACTGATATTAAGGCATCACAAAGGCACTTAATATCTGAAAACTTAAATCTCTTGTTAGACCCTGATATATGGTAGGTTACATGAGTACAGTCCGTTTGAGACAAAATGATACCGATCAATTGCAATCTAACACAAAAACAAATAGACATAAAAGAATCAAACCAACGCGGACTGCAATAAAAACAACAGACCAACTCTAGAAAACAATTGCATAATTTGTGTCACAAAAATAAAAAAGTTGTTTAAGAAACTGTCATCATTTATTTGTGCGTTTTCCAAGTTTGTTACAAGGGCGCAGTGGCAACTAAAGGAACAGCGCGAAAAGCGAGATGCACGTGCATTAGTGACGTCAGAGACATGTGATTACTGCTGATTGACAAAATGAGAGAAAATGAAAGTATATAATTTACAAAGTCTATGATTTTTTTCAAGGATGAAAATGACAGGGGGTGACCCAAGTATGCAATTACTAAGTACATACAGCGCACTGCCTGTGCAGCTGGGGTACGTGTCATCTCGCCAGCTCAAACGTTTGTTGAGAACCCGTTAACGCACGTGCATCTCGCTTTTCGCGCTGTTCCTTTAGTTGCCACTGCACCCTTGTAACAAACTTGGAAAACGCACAAATAAATGATGACAGTTTCTTAAACAACTTTTTTATTTTTTGGGCACAAATTATGCAATTTGTTTCTAGAGTTGGTGTGTTGTTTTTATTGCAGTCCGCGTTGGTTTGATTCTTTTATGTCGATTTGTTTTTGTGTTAGATTACAATTCATCGGTATCATTTTGTCTGAAACGAACTGTAGATGACTCGCTTTGGCACGTGTTTGTGACGGTGCCACAGATGGGGCAGAATACCCTTTTGCGAACTCCTGATGTCGTCATTCTTTGATTTTAAATATATTATGTAGACTTAGATCTTAGAATGGACACATCAATTTAAATTGATGTCTTGGACATGTCTCTTTTGCTTATAATCTTCATCATCATCATCATCATCACCATCATCATCATTATTATGATTCTTATTACAGCACCGTTTGTTTGGAAAACATTTAAGGAAATATATCAAATGCTTTTCAAATGTTGGCTTTTTATAGGTTTGATAATGACTCAAACACACTCAACCTGTTGCCATAGATTCCAAGAGGACAATCTTCCGTAACTGTCCCACCTCACCATGTACTATGGAATGTTGAAACTCTTGTATTGTCCAGCATATGGAGTCAGTGAGGTGAGGTGAGGTGAAATTGGGTTTAACGTCGTGCTTGAGAGTATTTCGCTCATATGACGACGTGCATGCGTGTGTATGTGTATGTGTATATGCGGCTGCTTGTACTAGCCCAGACTTAAGCTGGTTTTAAAGTGCTAGCCTAATGAGATACCACGCCGCAGTGAAGCATGAGTACCCCACTCAGACACATTATACTGACTCCGAGCCGACCAGTCCTTGTTGTACCCATTAATGCCGAGCGCCAGGCAGGGACCAACAAGTACCATATTTTAACGTCTTTGGTATAACGCGGTCGGGGATCGAACCCGCGACCTTCCGCTCTCCGGGCGGACGCTCTAACCACTACACCACGGAGGCGGTCTATGGAGTCAGTGAGTGAGTGAGTGAGTAAGGTAATGGACGGGTAATGTCTACAACAAGGAAATGTCTGTTGAAGTTAGAACTCATTAGAAATTGTTCAGACTATTTAAGAACCAACCTCTGTCAACCTCTGATTTCCTATAACCGATACCAACCATCACTTGTTTGAATGACGTCCCTTCATTACACAAGAAAGTGTTGGACACCGAGCTGCGTTGTGGCATCTCAATGCATCTCGTTACGGCATCCACACCAATGATGAGTACACAAGTGCTGATGCAAGATATATATTGCATGGAATCATCACTTAAACCAGTTCTCCTTGGTTACTCATGGAAACTGACCCACTCTTATCCAGGTGTGCATGTACGGATCCTCTGAAACACACTGTAGCCTTCATATTCACGTCTATACGCACGACACTTATGAGAACATCGCAGTAGATCCGATGTTGTGAGATTCGTTTGTGATGGGAAATCAGTGTGCCCGTACAACAGCAGCTGTAAAATATTGTTCAGAGTTATCTCCCATACATCACAAAAGTTCACCAAACTCGACACGGGGAATTGTCTGACACATGCCTCGCTATGATGCATACAGAATTCAAGCCTCAACATTTATTTCAAAACTGGATCTGTCCACTTGAACCGGTCATCTTGGAGTAGCTGTGCCAAGTCTAGGTTTAGATCCTTGTGAAAGTTGTTTAACAGGTCTCGTGTTTCGGCCAACATCTGTCCCGCTGCCTGATGCTGCTTGTTGCGGGTATACGCGCGGGACATATTGGCAATACGATTCAACTCTTGATCAGGAAGTTTGCCTGGAAAGAAATAATGTATTTATTGTGTTTTACTATCTATAGCTGATGGACTGACTGATGGATTGATCGACTAAACGTCACACTGACGTTCCTTACCGTCTACATACACACTGACGTCCCCTAGGGTATCCATGACCCCCATACACTGACGTTCCCTACCGTAGCCATGGCCCCCACACACTGACGTTCCCTAGGGTATCCATGACCCACACACACTGACGTTCCCTACCGTATCCATGACCCACACACACTGACGTTCCCTACCGTATCTATGACCCACGCACACTGACGTTCCCCACGGTATCCATGACCCACACACACTGACGTTCCCTACCGTATCTAACACACACACACACGCACGCACGCACGCACGCACGCACACACACACGCACTGACGTTCCCTGCCGTTTTTTATTGTCATCAATATACACCCACGGTCCCATATTCATGAATATCTTTTCTTTTCAAAATGTCATTCTTGCTGTAATCATTTCCCAAAAGGTTATACTGAAAATACTTACTAAAATCCAAAAAGTTGAACACCTTTCCTATGTGTCCTCGTATATCTTGAGAGTAGTCTTCATTTCTCAAAATGAGGAAATTTTCTCTTGGAAAAACCTTGAACCACTCTTTCAGGTACACAGCATAGAAGCTTACAGGAATACGAACCTGCAGTGGAAAATGAATTCATTACAGAACACAATGTTTTACTTGAAGCGTAAGGCTGGGGCCACTAACACTACAATCCAATTACACAATACGACTAATGACAGTACCTTGAACATAAGGTCATGGCTCGTGACAGTATAGCTTCTGTGTCCTTACCATGTCATGGCTGTGACACCAACATGTCATGGCCCGTGACAGTATAGCTTCTGTGTCCTTACCATGTCATGTCTGTGACACTAACCTGTCATGGCCCGTGACAGTATAGCTTCTGTGTCCTTACCATGTCATGTCTGTGACACTAACATGTCATGGCCCGTGACAGTATAGCTACTGTGTCCTTACCATGTCATGACTGTGACACCAACATGTCATGGCCCGTGACAGTATAGCTTCTGTGTCCTTACCATGTCATGGCTGTGACACTAACCTGTCATGGCCCGTGACAGTATAGCTTCTGTGTCCTTACCATGTCATGGCTGTGACACTAACCTGTCATGGCCCATGACAGTATTGCTTCTGTGTCCTTACCATGTCATGGCTGTGACACCAACATGTCATGGCCCGTGACAGTATTGCTTCTGTGTCCTTACCATGGCATGGCTGTGACACCAACATGTCATGACACGTGAGAGTACAACTTCCGTGTCCTTACCATGGCATGTCTGTGACACCAACATGTCATGGCCCGTGACAGTATAACTTCCCTGTCCGTACCATGTCATGGCTGTGACACTAACATGTCATGGCCCGTGACAGTATAGCTTCTGTGTCCTTACCATGTCATGGCTGTGACACTAACCTGTCATGGCCCGTGACAGTATAACTTCCCTGTCCGTACCATGTCATGGCTGTGACACCAACATGTCATGGCCCGTGACAGTATTGCTTCTGTGTCCTTACCATGGCATGGCTGTGACACCAACATGTCATGACACGTGAGAGTATAACTTCCGTGTCCTTACCATGTCATGGCTGTGACACCAACATGTCATGGCCCGTGACAGTATAGCTTCTGTGTCCTTACCATGTCATGGCTGTGACACTAACCTGTCACGGCTGTGACACTTAACCTGTCATGGCTCGTGACAGTATAACTACAGTGTCCTTACCATGACATGCATGGCTGTGACACCAACATGTTATAGTTCGTGACAGTAACACTACCAAAATACGTCTCCTGACACTAGCAGACTAGTCAGACTCCCCATTGTTCTCGGTGCCCTTGGTTTAGTACCTCCTGATCTCTTGGAGCAGATCAGGAGAATGCCCGGGTTCTCCGGGAGCACAGCCCTTCTGACACTCTTGGTAATGCAGAAGGCTGCAGTGTTGGGGAATCTACATATTCTCTGGAAAGTTCTTGGTGGGTTCAACTAGGCAGCGTTTCCTGGGAGAAGTCCCATTCGCTGTCTGGGCTGCGTGTAGTTTGGGCAAGGGCCCTGAGCTGATGATGAGCCTTACCAGCCTGACTGTGCCATGATCACCCGAACCCTCTCTGCTGCATACTATTTTTAATCTGTAAGAAATAATAATAACAATAATACTAGTTCATTTATAAAACGCATATTTCCATGCAGCATTCATGCTCAAAGGGCGCATGTCAGGACGAGAAGGCTTTTTTGAAAAAGGTGGGTCTTAAGTGCTGTTCGAAAGGTTGAAAGTTCTTTTATTTCTCTCAAATGTTGTGGGAGATGATACCATACTGAGGCAGCAGCATAAGAGAAAGTTCTTTGACCAAATTCAACTGTTCTGACTTTAAGAGTGCACAGACGATTAGGTTTCTCTCAGAGCTGACGGATCTTGTTGGTCTGTATGGAAAAAGGAGGTCGGACAGATATTGAAGTGCACCAGAGAGACATCTGAAGGCGAGAATGCAGAGTTTGAAATTCATACATGTGGCTGGTGACTATAACACGCCAGAGGCGCTACCATGAGACTGCTTGGGACACTCCAGTTAGTCGCCATCATCATCATCATCATCATCATCATCGCCACCATCACGATCATCATCATTTTCATCATTACCGCCATTACCACCATCATTTGCCTCTTGGTCCAGGGCTACTTAAGACATATTAATATGGAGACGGACAAACCACTTGATCTATACTTCATGTGTCAGTCCAGCTGGGTACCGACATCGTCAGTGACTCATACAGGGATGTAACATTGATCAGCGTATATGCGGCAGTAGAAACCTATTGACCCGACTGTAAGGTAAATGCGATAAGCTTTGGAAACGTAAACAGGACGACCGAGTATTGTATTTCTGCACCTTGGCCTGCTGTCGACTACTGTTTTCATTGCTCGAGATATCGATGCATCTACACAGCACCTCACAACAGCAGGTAGCAAACTCACCAACTGCTCCTTCTCTTCTCTAGATCTGTACTGAGGAGTTCGATAAATGTTAGACGTGAAAATGTTCTTTGTGTCTTCTTGTATTTTAAAGTAAGCCCTTTCTTCGTGATGTTGATACTGTCATATTGATACTGGATAAATAGGACTAGCTGGTTATCTCATTACAACTCGCATACAAGACAGCTGTAACGTGTATCGATTGCGAACAATGATTGCATGTTGGGAAATATATGTGATTAAAAAAGACGGAACAAAAATCAATTCAGTCCTGAAAGCGCATGTTTAGCATAATGATCTTGTTAAGGTATGGGGCATAAAGCACGATAAAGTGGTGGACATGCTGAAGTGGGGACATGAGAAAGTGAGGGACATGTTGAAGTCTGAGACATGTTAAAGTCCGAGACATGTTAAAGTGAAAGACATGTTGAAGTCCGAGACATGTTAAAGTAAAGGACTTGCTAAAGTTCGACTTGCTCAAATCCGAGACATGTTGAAGTCCGAGACATGTTGAAGTCCGAGACATGTTGAAGCAAAGGACATGTTGAAGTTCGACATGCTCAAGTCCGAGACATGTTGAAGTAAATGACATGTTGAAGTCCGAGACATGTTAAAGTAAAGGACATGTTGAAGTAAAGGACATGTTGAAGTCCGAGACATGTTAAAGTAAAGGCCATGTTGAAGTCCGAGCCTTGTTCAAATAAAAGACATGCTGAAGTCCGAGACATGTTGAAATCCCAGACATATTGACGTAAGGGACATGCTGAAGTCCGAGACATGTTAAAGTAAAGGACATGTTGAAGTCCGAGACATGTTTAAAGCATGGGATATGTTAAAATATAGGGCATGCTGAAATTACGACACACATCATATTGTATTCAAATATGACATATAGAGGCCATTTCCTGTCGCGTCTAAGTATATGTTGTTTCTTATAATTCTTTGCAAAATTCACGAAAATATCTTACCGGTATTTTCATATGTAAAGTTTTATTAAAGAGACATTCTTTGAGGGAGTGAAGCTCTTGACATTGCCTCAGCATCAGGAGCGACGTCTGCACGTCTGTGTGGAACGACTGTGCTGTCAGTGGTGTCTTGGGCGCTCGGTACAACTGTAGGAACAAGTAGTCGGAATACAGCCTGAAAGAACGAAACATGTGATATGCTCTGTCTGATATACAAATAGTGTACGGTGTTGGATATACATACTTTGTACAACTGTACATGTACCCACTGAACAAATACTTATGGGACCACGAGTGTACGAGGTATGCAAGGACAAAAGTTAGAAGTTCGTGTTATCGTCTCCAGCCTTCACTTTATACCTAGACGAAGATGTTGTGCAGATGAGGATGGCTAGTTTCCGCACAGTCAAACACTTGGACATTTGCGGCTTGATATGCTGATCAGGGCACTGAGGGGCCTTAACGCATGGACGGCGGTCAGTAAATAATAGCGTTTGGACCAGAAAATCCAGTGATTGACATCATGACCATCAATTTACGCAATTGGGATACGACGACGTGTGTCAAGCATGAACCAAGGTATTTGGCAACGGAGGCTATACAGTATGATATCGGGAGTAACTGTATGGAACCAAAGTAAACCTGTAGCGTCCCTGCCACTATGCATGATAAAAATAAGACACAACCCGTGAAGATCCGGGTTAGAATTGGTCTTCAGCAACCCATGCTATCCGTAAGAGGCGACTAACGGGATCGGGTGGTTAGGCTCGCTGACTTGGGTGGCACATGTCATTGTATCCCAATTGCGTAGATCGATGATAATACTGTTAATCACTGGATTGTCTGGCCCAGAGTCGATTATTTACAGACCGCTGACATATGACTGGAATATTGCAGTGTGCGCCGTTAAACAACAACCAAACCAAAACATACGGTACAGTTATATTTTACATTACACAGTGCAAAATGCATGACACACACAACGGCCCAAAGAGAATATTGTTATATCGTCATTAAAACAGCTGCGAAACATGTAATATTAACTATATTACCTGGTATTGGAACAAAAGTAAGTTTTGGCCAGAACGTTTAACCTTGTAAGGCTTGATTCCTGTTTTGACACAGGAACATCGATTATTTCTACACATCTTGTTGAATCTGCTTGCATTTCAGTTGTGGCTTCCTTGATTTGATTCATTATGCGTAGCCGCAGTCAATACGTTCACGCTTGCCAATTCCTTCAATGTTACAGAGTCTGTGATTAGCAGAATATGGATTGGTACCAAGAAACCCAAACTGTTGACGACCGAACCTGACCCGGGTCAAGGACAAGAATACAGGATTGATTGATCTAAATTATACACCAGGAAATCGAGCTCAAACAGTGAATCAAATTGCTGCAATCTTTCACCGGACTACTGGAGTTCAAGTTACGGGAAGCCGAATAGAAATCGTGAACACGCAGCTCATCTCGTTGTGGAGTGGGACAGACTCCCACGAGCCATCATTGGTAGACTTCAATATACCTCGTCGGGTGAATGGATGTTTGACAAATCGTGGCCTTATTACGCGCCACCAATCCAATTATGTTAACTTTGTAATTTCCAACCCTATCGTTGGTGGTCATAAGAATATACTATTTCAACATCGCTTGTAATGTGTTTCTGATTCGTTTCTTTTCATCATACACCACTTACTACAAAGTAATAATAATAATAGCATTTCAGTAGGATGTGTTTTCATAGCACCCCTTACCCATTGCAGTAAGCATGATACATGCTATACACACGGCCCTGGGAATAACGGGCAGTTGGCTTCGTTTAAGCTATAGTGGTTATATAAACATGCACGATATATCTAACACGCACGGCTGAATTGTTCGTGTGTATCAAATTGGTTCACGGTATTAAAAACACTGGTATATCATGTTGTAATCAAACTGACATGGCCTTAGTTCCAGCTAGGCCTCGATAACAACGGAGCAAGCAGGCCGCAAATAGGCAGGCACAGCTGTGATCAACTATCAATGCTGACAGGCTATACACACCGTTTAAGCTGGAAATCTGAATACAAGTACATGGCCATGCAAGTAATCTATGCACAGAACATAGGTTCCAACAACAATGTACATAGATCATGCACGTGTAAACAAGTACATAAACACATAAGCTATGAACAGACCATGTGATATATTTGTATAATAATAATACGTTACTGATTCGAAAAATAACATTTTGTTCGTGCTATTGCATTATATTTTTGAAATATCAGGACATCTACCATATTATTTATTATGCTATATTATGGAGTGTGTTCCTTCCTGGGAAATCCATTTGCACTGACGTGTAAGAAAACCTTCATAGCATTATGTATATTCACAGGCGGTGTACCAGATTCGCCATTTTGTTCTGTATCGTACCGTACCTGAGATACCTCCGAAGTGGCAATCTCCGTAGTCCCATCCCCACATTAACCTGGCGTTAATGGCGTACCAGAAGTATCTTGTAATGTCAGTCTAATAATAAATATATGTATGTATGCATATACGTATATACCTGTACTCACCTATACAGTTCAGTAACTCCAAAAATATAGATGGGAAGGATAGAGAATATAGTAAGCTGGGGGCAGTACCTGTTCTCTTTGTTGTTTAACGCCACACTCAGCAATACGCTAGCTACATTATTGCTGTATTTGACTAATTGATTGTGGACCATACAACCGAGTGATTGATATGATGAGCATGTATCGACGCAGCTGAGCTAAGATGACATGCAATCAACAAACCACCGGGCATGATGCCTTAGTCCATCTTGTCGTCTCTCAAACCATGTTGGTCAATGGGTTTCTCGGAACTATGGCATTACACAGATCTTAACGGGTATGTACGTTTATTACCGAAAAGATGAGTAGAAATGTGTTCGTATGCTTCACGCACCTGTCTGTTGGGTTTCTGAAGATGATGAGGAACTTGGCCTTCGGTGTGAGGTGGTGGATGCAGTGGGGGTGAGTACCGCGGTGTCCACAGTCTTGTTTTTGTTCTGGGGGATTCTGTTCCACCCGGTCATGTCCCAGAACACGGTGGGGCTACCCTCGCCTGGCGACAACACGCGCAACAGAATGAATGAACTCAATAATATATGGTATAACATGTAAGACGTGTGAGGATTGAGACGAAAGACAGACAAGCATTACATCTACTTGAAGACGGGCACCAAACGTACCTGTGACGAGATGATGGTAGTCTGAAAGGCCGTGAGACGTTTGTGATGTCGAGTTTATCTGCAAAGCCGGCTTGTCGAATGCGCTTAAATATTCCTCAAAATGCTGAATACGAGCATTGTTAGCCCAGATATCAAAGCCTGAAACAAAGAAAAGATGAAAACTCGAGTTACTGGGTGTTGGCTTTTCATGTTGATCAAGAGCATACCAGTCATCTAGATCTGGATCACATGAGTGAGTGAGTGAGTTTAGTTTTACGCCACCCTCAGCAATATTCCAGCTATATGGCGGCGGTCTGTAAATAATCGAGTCTGGACCAGACAATCCAGTGATCAACAGCATGAGCATCGATCTGCGTAATTGGGAACCGATGACATGTGTCAACCAAGTCAGCGAGCCTGTCTGAATCATGGACGTCATCGAGATCTAGATAATACAAATGATCTAGACCTGGGTCATACTCACCAAACCTGCGCCACGACCACCAGTGAGTCTCCTTGCCCAAGACAGCGTTAGGTTTCACAAGGTCAGGGTGCTGACTCAGCCTGAACCACAGGTCAGTTGTGCCACTCTTGTCTACACCGATGAGGTGGAAGTAGGGTAAACAGCGCACCTTGTTGCTGGTACTAACTGTCTCCCGCCAACATGGGTTCTTAAAGTTGGATAGCAGATTTGGCTGTGTCTGAAAATGTCCCATTTTCAAATTCAATCAATGATTTCAATACATTGCGAATTATCTTGTGTTAATGCTGTCAATCAATAGAATGATTTAATCGAACAAAAAGCAATTTCAAAGATTTCAATACATTGCGAATTATATTGTGTCAATGCTGTCAATCAATAGAATGATTTAATCGAACAAAAAGCAATTTCAAAGATTTCAATACATTGCGAATTATATTGTGTCAATGCTGTCAATCAATAGAATGATTTAATCGAACAAAAAGCAATTTCAATGGTCGCTGTCATCAAATGCATATCACTAAGCTATACAGTTTTAGACATCGTCTAAAATTCTGAACATAAAGAGATGATTAAAGGGGCAACTCATTCCTTGACTTGATGCATGTCATGGTATCGCTTGATCGCTGCTCATGAAAACCAGATTGTCTGGTCCATTATTTACTGACCCCTATCATACAGCAGGAATGTAGAGTAGTCAAACGACAAACAAGCAAACTTCCTCAAAAGTACAACTGAACAACTTGTGATTTCCAAAACACGATTTAAAGTTTATAATCTGTATGATAAAGATGATTAAAAACGATGGGTGGAGCTTTTCTTCCACAGAACACGACAGGTCGTAGTGTACTGAATGGATCTATACACGAAAATGTATGGCAAATGTCCATGAGTCCTTGCATATGTACACGGCTTAAAGTTTGGTATGCTTGGTCATCTGCCATTGCTGCGTACTGATCCAGAACTGCGCCAGGCGGAAGTATTCGACTGACTGAGTTTGGTTTTACGCCGCTTTTAGCAATATTCCAGCAACATCACGGCGGGGGACACCAGAAATGGGCTTCACACATTGTACCAAGGTGGGGAATCGAACCTGGTTCTTCGGCGTGACGAGCCAACGCTTTAACCACTAGGCTACCCCACCGTCCCCGGAAGTATTCGACTTAACGGTACTTGTAGAGAGATGTAACATACAGTCTGCCCCCACTATATCGAACCTAACAGGACCGAGTTGTCATTTCGAGATACCCAGACATTTGAGATGATAGAGTGTAGAAAACGGGGTCCATAGACATAACGATTGTTATGTATTTCAATCAGTATTTTCATCCTTTTGTCAACTGAAGGTCACTGCTCTCCTTGATTCTATTATCAAGGAAAAAATCTTGTCACTAGATTATAGCCGTGTACAGAGTGGGTGCATTTAGAGGAATATTGAAATCCTTTACGATATCAGTTTCAGACATCATGTGTTTTTGTAAACATGCTTAACGTCTCTCAACGAGCAAACATGTTCACACACTAATCATACATATAATGTGTTTTGAGTAGGCTATCAACATGGCAAACGATCAAGGGTGAACCCGTTGATCGACTATAGCTTCTGACCGTGAGCGTTCGTTGACAGTACTCACCATTGACATGACATCATCGGGAGCGGCCGGGTCAACGTTCACTTTTTCCTTCTCTACCTCTTCAGTCTTCTTTACTGTCTTCTTTGCTGTCTGTGGAGGTTCTACCTCAGGTGGTATTATTTCCATATTCTTGTGTATGATAAGCGGTTCCAGGACCTTGTGGCTGCCAGCCAAGTCCTGAAACCCCGAGTGTTCTCTGCTGGAGACGTAAGCGTCACCCGAACCGGAACTGCTGATACTCGCCCGTAACACTACAAGCACGAACAAAGCCGCCATTGCGGCCAGTACGAGCCTCTTGATTCGGAGTCGCAACATGCTGGGTGTAGAACTGAATATCAACTTCACTCCTGTAGACAGAAAGGCCGGTGGTGGTCAGTTTGTATCGAAAACACAATTAGTCAATATCACATTAATATGGTATCTGCGTCAGTTCAGCGTGGGCACGGGTGAACGTGTACCATCAGAGACCACAGAGGGACGGCCCTCTAGCCAGTGCGCAAAACCATCAGCGCTACGGCTTGTACTGCGCAGCCTATCCGGAAGCTGGCAAACGTGTGCTGACTTCAGTCATCGATTTCGCGTATTTTCATTGCAAAGGTAAGATTTGATTTTTTTCATGTATTCTCATGCATATACTTACATTTGCAACAGTGCATTAGAGGTGTATTAGGGGTGCTAAAGCATATATTTGTCTTGGTATTTGATGAATACTGTCATGTGTGCTCGTCGTTGTGTGAGAACAATGGCGGAGGTGTAGAATCGGCAAAAGTCCCGATTTTGATTTTCAATAACGGATACTAATTCTCAATGCAAATCCTTAGTTACCGGGGTGTAATGAAAGAAAATAAGATAAAGATTTGTATAGGGGCATTTATAAGTCTGTGGCGTTCGCGTCATTCCTTATTTTGGCTCGTGCAATGCGATGAAATATGATGTTTTGCGAAATATTTTACTCCACAACACTTGATTTTCGCACGCTTTCACAAGAACAGCTTATTACTAGCATGTTTGAAATAAACATGTGAACATTCACGGCGATTTCCTCTTTTGCGTGGTACACTTTTTATATGGCTACGATCGGTATTTTATTTTTTATGATTTTTGGCGTAAACCCATATTTGCGTCGTATACTGAACATTTCAATTATCATGTAGCAGACGACATAACATTCATTTTGTTCATTAATATAACGTGAATATATATTTAAATCATTCTACAAAAGTCTCATTCACCTAATCGTTTGAAAAAAAGTACATATTTCCATTATTGTTCATTTTGATGATTATATTTGTGGAAAAGGTCCTTATTTATCATGTAACAATTCATATATTTTTCTGTTATCATTATTCTTCCTACTGAAGTTAGAGTTTTATTGCTATATATTATTATATTATTATACAGTACCAGCAGCCTGACTTTATGCAACAATGAATCAACATTTTATTTATATCATTACACTATTTATATAATAAATTATCATTTGTTTGGCAGATGCCCAGGAAAAAAGAAAGTTTTCATCAGCAGTCGCCGGAAGGGCTACTCAAAGTGGGGTCCGAGACAACAAGGTGTCAGTTCTTCCTCTCTCTCTGACATTCTTATTCATCAGTTCAATCAACTGTTCACGACGATTGCAGGAAAGTAATAATGGAAGTAAGAAATTCACAAATGATGTCTTTGAAAAAATGAGTAATTTAGTTGTGTTGATATTTTGTAGTTATTGGAAATAAGTTTATTTATTTATTTTATTGGTACTTGTATATCTTGTACCTGCAGAAATAAGTTTAAAAAAATATCAAAGCAATTGTATAATCAAATATTAATATTGTTTCATGGAAGTCATTTTTCATTATGTAAAAATGCCTGGAAGAAACGGTATAGTGTAAATTATTAAATACAATATTACCCCATCTTGAGTAAGTAACTAGACCTTGTTTAAAAGAGCATTGGCAGTAATCAACTATTGCATAATTTTAACAACTATTTAGAACACTTCAAATTTATACCATGTTTTTTAATATTAATATTGTGTAACTCCATCTGCCTAATTTTCAGTTCTAGAGATGCACTGTGGGACAAAGCATGGAAGTTTTACATTCATTCTTCATTGACCTCACCGATGAACCCATCATGATTATATTATATCATAAAATTATCATTTGTTTTGTAGATGCCTAGGAAAAAGAAAGTTTTCATCGGAAGGGCTACTCAAAGAGCCTACTATTAAGTACAATATTCCCATCTTGATTAAGTAGATATACCTTGTTTGAAAGAGCATTGGCAACCAACTATTGCATAATTTTAATTTCAAATTCAGTTTAGAGTTTATTTGCAACAGTTGAAATTCACATTTACTGTGTTTTTAATGAAAGAATATCTAAATGGTTGAATTTAGTAATACATGATTGTACATATAGATCTATGGTCCTATTCTACAATAAATACATTGTACATATAAGAACGTGTGATGTTGTGTTTTAATGTTATTGGTTGCATTTTCCTGCCAAGTTAAAGTTGACACTTTGCTGAATTTTTTTAATTGATAGGGTCATGTAGTACAGCCCATTTAACACATATATTTCATGGGCTCGGAGGCAAGTGACTTTAGTATTTAGTGGCTTCCCTTTGAAAAAAAAACAACAAGTGTCTCCATACGGCCCAAAGCATAATCACTGCTAGCCCCAAACTTGCATTATAAAAAACATTAACGCTCTTGGAAAATGTGAAATTGTGTTTCGTTGGGACTATAAACTTTATAATAAACACCAGTCAGTCACAGGCCCTCGTGTTATATATGGTCTCTGGTACCATGTATGAACTGCCGACATTAGAGAGTATACACACACCTTCCATGGTGGTAACATATGATGTAAACAGATGGTTTAAAGCTAGTGAAGTATTTGATAGAGGTATTATTTGTTTTACTTGAAGTCTGTGGTGATTCGGTGACTGTTTTCAACCTTGTCACGTTTTAATGACGTTTGTAATGCTTTGGTCTTATTTAATTTTCAAGTGTAATCTCGGCTGTTGAAACAGTGTAGCTGACACAGTGGGTATATTTGGTGACCTGTAACGAGTGCATGTCATGTATATGATGAAACAATGATACATCCAGTATGTCAAACACAGCTGCTCTAGAGGTCCCATAGTAGATGTGACCTATTAATTATTCATTATAACTATAATACACTCCAATTTATTAACTAAGTACACAATCTGGAGCTAATAATTTCCCATTACCTCCCGCAAACTTGTGATAATATGTTTGAAAATTCTTTTAACCTATTAAATAAGAAAATGAAAATGATATCTTTCATTTATTCCATTCATATATACAATGTTCAATAACGCACCAAACCGGGAATGACGTCATGTAAAGATTGATCACAGTGTATTATACTGATATGTCTTCATGATAATACACACAGATTGCCTAACCATTTGGTTAACAGATTAACCAAAAAGCTTTATAACTACGCAATTTCTGAACAGAATTATAGCTGAATCTGCCTCGGGTTTCCAAGCTGAACCTTGAATGTATTTATCTGTTTAAGTATCCAGTTCACGGGGATACACAACTGTGATTATAGACCGACCCAAGATCTGGAGCATTAACCACTGTTAAACCTGCATGTTGTTACCCACACAACGGACATACAACTAACTACACCGTCTGATGGGTGATATAAGCTTGTAAATCCCAACACGGCCTATGACTATTCATATACCTATTAAGTATCGGAACAGCTGTATCGGACTCTGCGTCAGCTCTAACTTCCCTAGCTGTGGAGTAACATCGAACCAGGCGCCGCTTGTTTGACAAGAGCAACATAACACGAGAGTTTGTTGGCTTGTCAAATGATTTTGGGGTATGTTTCCTGGTATTGAAAATAATCCTTGGCGAATCGTTAAACTATTTAAGTGTCTCGTATGAACAACATCACTTGATATACTTCTGCATCTATTTTCATTCATTAACAGTAAGTGAGTGAGTTCAGTTTTACGCTTTTCTACACACATTGTACCCATGTGGGGAATCGAACCCCGGCTTCCAGGTGACGAGCGGGCGATTTAACCACAAGACAGCAACATTCCTGCAAATCAAGCAGCTTGTACTTTATAAGATGAGAAAAACAGTGATTGTAACCTCGATATATGCATTCTGTCCACGATGACACAATATCTGCCGTACAGATACGTTATCATGGGTTAGTGATTATTGAGTGAGTGAAGTTCCACTCTGCTGAATATTAATAATATTTTCAGGAGAATAGATAGCAGTCGAACTTTCATACATATTCACTCAACAAAATAATTTGAATTTCAAGCACATCGGCTGACTAAACACAGCCTGTGACTAGCAATATAATCAATAGCATGTTCTGAAAGGCAACGTGGTGTGTGTCAACGGAGATTCCCGTGAAACAGAGCACCGGCTGTCGCTGCATTTCCTCGACAGGCGTGCGTACTTGAGGCATTGTATATCTACTATTGAACACGTATTCATAAAACCGATAGGTATTTCCTCTCTGTAATAACACGGAGATAATACCATTGTATGCACAGCAAGCCATTCCAGATTCAGTTTAGAACAACTTCTATTTTTGGATGTCATCCAATCTGACAATGAAAGTGGGTATCCAACCTAATTAAACAAGAGATACCGACTAAGGACTGTCTCAACAAAAGTAGATATCCAGCCCAAGATATTCTCCGTAGCATGACCATCTTGAATGTCGGAATCAAAACTTGGATATGGATATTTATGAATAAAAGCATATTCTGAAATCACCATGCTACATTATGAACAAACACTGTTGAAAACCGACCTCGGTTCTAAGTGTAATGTTTCACCTCAGTTCGCCATTTAAAGTCACTCCAAACTTAACGTTTACAGAATGATAACAGGTGATAAACAGACGCCATAGAAACTGATATTCAAGCCAAGGCAGAACAGAAAGATGATCCGTAATAACTTGAACAGTCATGCGCTCATTGAAGTGTGGCGAGATTTTTTCTGTGATATCGTCAAAGGTCACATCTAGATATTTGACACAAGCTTTCTTCAGCTGTTTTACATTCCCAGTCTTCAAGGGGGATAATCTAAACAATACATTGCCTTTGACATTTTTCGTTCACCTTGTCGATGCTTTTTCGATGTACCTGTTATGCTTATGTACGAGGCGGTGGTTTAGCCTAGTGGTTAAGCGTTCTGGTGCCCCTCGCCGTGATATTGCTGGAATATTGCTAAAACCGGCGTAAAAGCAAACTCACTCACTCACTTATACACCAGTTTGAAATATATCAAAGGCAACTGAAACTTCAGCTTACTTTCATCCAAAGGCGGGCATACGTCTTTATAGGATTAACTTTCGTCGAATATAATGCAATGTCTGTTTTCAGGTGCTTACAGACACCAAGGGGTCTTAAATATACAGACACCAAGGGGTCTTACATACGCTTTACTGGTATTTCGTGTCCAAATAAAACTATTCTTCAAAGAGAACTGAAACAAAATCCCTCAAATCCAAAACATCGGATTATGTGTAGGCATACAGTGTTGAGGCTAGGTGTTCACAAAGCGGGTAGTGATGACCTTCACTTCCGGTAGCATCTGCCATGGTGGAGGTCAAGGTCAGACAAAGGAACTGTTTTCTGCCAGTTAAGTCCTTAGAAGAGCTGTTTGTGGAATTAATCTTTAATTTATTCTGTCAACGGAACCGTTTCAAACAGCATGGCTCCAGCACCAAAATTTTGCAATTAAGATGTTGAAATGATATTATTTAGACCTGTATGAGGTCAGTCATGCACATATCACATAGAGAGTAGCCATGAATTGTTTATAGATATAAGAGAGTTAAAGATGACGGCAAATACCATAAACGGTGTACCTCCACATGCCTGTCTCTTGAACTCTCCCAAAAAAATTCGAGGACAAAACAGGGCAACGGCTGAAAGATTTGGAAACTTATGTTATGTCAAAACGCGAGAATTATTCCCGACTGTTCCCAAATATGTCACATCTGCAATCGAAAATTTTGAAGCTTGTTTTGAATATCCTTCAAATGTAACTTATTGATTATTGATTTTCTGACAAGTACCTCACGACATTTGTTGGCAGCAACTCAATCACTGTGGAGTATATACAGTGTTCGCTTGACCGAGATCCAGCGGTACAGCCAAGCTGTGACAGATTTCTGTGTTCACAAGAACACATTGTTCACGTATGGTATGGTTTAGAGGCTAAAACTCTGAAGGAACAGAACATTACAATATTGTCTTAATCTGGGACAAATTACGTTGATAATAATTGGGGCTTGTAGGAACGGAATGGGAAATACGGGCACTGTCAGTTTGTTCTTAGTGTGTATTTTTTCTTTTGTGTCAACGTTAAATGCCTTGTATGTTCTATAAACAATTCATGGTCTTATATCGATAAACAGTTCATGGTTTATCTTTACCTTCATCCTCGTCTTTCAGTAACATTGCATACATTACAGTCACCGTGAAAGAAGGGTAGTTAACCCACGGTAGACCAAAAGAGAGCAACTTCTGTTTACGGGGCTTAACCCGATAACATATTCACACTAGTATTGTGTCCTAAAGGGACTTTGTTATTCAAGCGATGCTTTTACAGAGATCGGTTTGTTGTTTCCAATGCAGTTTCCATGGTTAAAATGGAAATGAAGATTGGGTTCGTTAATAGTTTCATTTTTTTATTTTTATACACGTCAGACACAAAGCTGATGCATTTTGCAACAGAGGAATTTAAGCAAAAAGTCATGTCGTTTCCAAAGCAACATGCTAAATGAGAGTTGGTTTCTGAAGCGAAACTGATGAGCTGTTCAATATTACTTGTGCAGTTTTGAATAAAAATAACAAGTGCTCAACTGTTACCTTTCTTGATATTTTTAGATTATGTTTTACTTTTCCAAGCCAACAACTTCACATATAATTCACTTACAGAGCATAAATTACATGCGGGGGCATTTCGAAAATGGAAGGAATGAAACAAAACTATTTCGGACGCGTTTCTGTATCAACTTGTACCATATGTTACTGTGTCTATTTCAGATGAACAACTTACTTGACTTGCACTTGAATCTTCCATGTCCTAACATTATAACGGGAATACATTGTATATTGCGCTTTCACGTTTATTAACGTTGCTGTGTGGACGAGTATTAGGGGAAAGGATTCGTTTGTCATGATCATGACGGTAATCTTAGTTTAGATAATTCTTGTAATGCTTAAATCATCGTACAAGTCGTGTCTCCTTTCGAGATATCGTTGAGGCATGTGAGGTGTTTAGTGGACCAAAGTGATATTACATGACATAATTCAATACATTAGTTAGGAAAGAAATGCATTGTAACGATACCTCTTTGGTAGACTATAGTCGTGTTGGCGTAGTGTCTCTTCATGGTGAGGGATGACATTGTTAAGACTTCGAGAAACATGCATGCATACTTCGTCCCGTGACAGTTGTCTTGACAATCTATAATATCATGTCGTGTATAGTGTCCGTGCTAGTTGACAACATCAGGAGAAAGATGCATTGATTATCGCAGACAAGCAACCTTAGTAGGTGGGTCGATTAACCAGTGCAATAGAGTTTTAAAATCAAGTAGATACCAGCACGTGGGTATGACACCTCTGGTTATGCCGATATTTCCCGCTGACATTCTTCTTGTGTCATCTCAATTCCAGGAAATCAGACACAACCTGGCAGACGCAGCATGATGTTCACTACTGTGATGTTTCCTTGCAAATATCGCCAACTTTAGTTCAGGATACAAGGTGTCGCGTTTTCGAAGGCTGTATCGGTTCGGCTTTGTGGTGTCTCTGTTCAGTGCAATCTTTGTTGAAGTTTCGATGTCTTTCAGATTCAGACATTCGGATTTCACTTTTCTCAAGTTTCTCTCCAATGATTATAAAGATCAGCTGTACCTTGATTTGAAATGAATATTCCAAAGTTCAAAGCTGTCTTTAGTACAAGGGTGCTTGATTCAGGGAGTTTTTCGTCTACCAGGATTTCGGGACCACAATCACGGCCATGCGATTACTTTGAATTGGCTTTCGCCTGCTGAACTGACACCTCACGTCTCCAAACTGTATGAAGTCTTCCTTAAATGTCCACGTTTTAACTGCCTTTGTGGTCTCTCTTTACAGGATCTCCATTTTCTCAACTGGCCTCAATATTCAGGTTGTCCTCGGGATATATTCTCCAGCTACAGTGGTTGTAGATGACTCAGCTGCAGGAGATGAAGTCGTCTCACTGGTAGGACATGTAGATATCTCAACTATCGTTGTGGCAGTCGTGTAGTCTTCAGGTAATAAAATCAAGGTATAGATGGCGTGCCTCCCCACACCATACACAGTTTGTCCATACGGTGTGGCGTTAGCTGTGTACACTATTTCACAAAACTGTGAGTGATCAGCTGCCAAATAAATGTGTGATCAGCTGTTCTGTCTGCTGTATAGGACCGCAGTATATGTTATCTCTGGGCAGTCGATTAGCATACATACTCGCATAATCTTGAAGGTTTAATGCATTTCATTGAATGGAATATGTCGTACTTCATGCCTGCATGTAAATGAACAATAGCTGATGGCAACACATGTTACCTAGCTTACCGTGATAAATATACTTCATGGTGGATCGGGTTTGTAGTTACTGTAGAAGTTGAGAGAGAGAGAGAGAGAGAGAGAGAGAGAGAGAGAGAGAGAGAGAGAGAGAGAGAGAGAGAGAGAGAGAGAGAGAGAGAGAGAGAGAGAGAGAGAGAGAGAGAGAGAGAGAGAGAGAGAGAGAGAGAGGATAATGTTGAAGGATAATGTCATGGTCACTTTATAACTATCTAAAACCCAGTCTTGTCCAAAAATACTTTAAGTTATCATCTCGTGACATCTCGTGACTTCAGAACGGGAAGGTATGTTCTATACTGACAAAAGAGGATGTTTAGGGGATATGTTATGAGTTGTGTGGTCAAAACCACCCCAAAATATGCGTTATCCCAAAACATTTCGCCGAGTATATTAGTCAAAATATTTATCGATCTGACTCGAATTTAATACCACATCCAATGTCCATTATTTCTTATCAATGCATTTCATTTGTTTGATCCAGGTTATGTTGTTTCCATACTTAACAGGTAACCTGCGGTGAAGTATCTTGGTCACTTTCCTGCTTCCGTCACTGTGTCCAGAAACAACGTATACCCGGTAGTTTAACGTAATCTCTTCCTATCTCAGTAATAAGTAGGAATAATGTATGTTGACAAAGTCAATTTGTAATATGAGCTGATACTTTCCATTTCCTAATTCGAATGTTATTGTCATTTTTCTCAAAATGTTGATACAGGCCTTTTATTTGCCTTGCTTTAAATTGACAAGGTAATTGTTTCTGAAACTGTTGAACTGTTGTGTCAGTCGTGGACAATACAATATTGTGTTATGGCAGTGTGGACCAGTGAAACCCGGTGTTCTGTACGTCACTGTCTGAGAGAGAGAGAGAGAGAGAGAGAGAGAGAGAGAGAGAGAGAGAGAGAGAGAGAGAGAGAGAGAGAGAGAGAGAGAGAGAGAGAGAGAGAGAGAGAGAGAGAGAGAGAGAGAGAGAGAGAGAGAGAGAGAGAGTGTGTGTGTGTGTGTGTGTGTGTACTTATTCGACTGTGCTGTCCCGTCTTGATAATGATGTTATACATATTCCAACCCTGCAGAAACAATATTATTACAAGAGCACATCTATAATAATTAGGAACTAGTGTCATGAGGTAAGATTGAAACTACTGACGGCCAGTGACCATTAACCTCATAACTGCAGGCCATGGTCAAGTGGAAGGAGGGTCTACTTAGGGACAGTAGGTGTGTGGCTCGTACCATCGCTATGGTACTTTGTGTTGTCATGCCTCAGCTCAGAGTCAACGTGCCCGTGTGTATCCACGTTAATCTGGGAATATGCTTCTCACTGAGTAAGCATTATGTAACCGTATGTCCCTATTTAACATCGCCTATAAGTCCCAAAGACACGGGTCTAGTCTATTTAAACATAAACGCGTCATTGAAACCATGTACAAACGTTCATACAAGTACGAGACAGCAGTTTCAGAACTCAACCTCATTCATACATTCAATGACGGCATGTTCAGGACTACTACACTTAAACTCAACAAAGTACACTTTCAATGTTATACTACCCTTGTCGAGACACACACTGACCTACTATTGACACAGGTGAACAGCGTGTGTGGTAGTGGGTCTGCAGTCCCAGCCTGAGTCAGGTCTAGTATAACTGGAAGCGTTGAAACACAGCAGTCATAACACGCTATCACAGAAATCTTGACAACAACAACAGGTAACGAAACGTCAAGATTTCTGTGATAGCGTGTTATGACTGCTGTGTTTCAACGCTTCCAGTTATAAACCCACACTGTCATCGTTTCTCAGTTGTGTAGATCAATGCTCATGCTGTTGATCACTGGATTGTCTGGTCTAGATTCGATTAGTTACAGACCGCCGCCATATAGCTGGAATATTGCTGAGTGCGGCGTAAAACTAAACTCACTCACTATAAACTCACACCGAAATCAATTCATCTGTCAATGACATGGCATGGTATCTGTATCTTACACCCACAAAACAGATTGAAACGCATTTCATCAAACGCTGATACGTTAACATAAAACTAAATTTGAATGTGTCATTGAGCAAAGCTGCAGATTATTCCATATTGCCTTTGGCGTATTGATCGTTCTGAGGCCAATAATAGGGTAACATTCTCTAATGCTGCAACTACTACAACATGTACTGGATCTCTAAAAACGTTTATCTGAAGGAATTATGCATAGCGACCGTGTGTTTGTTAACAGATTCGCTCTGAATTCCTGTTTTATCGTGGATGAACATCTATTTAAGTAACGAATTGTTAACCTGTTGACCGTCCTGTCCCATTCTGCGCACAATGTACAGAAATCAATGGCACCATTCTGCTTCTATAGAAGACACAGTCACAGAGACCTTTCTTGTATCGATCTAAACACGACAGCGTTATGAAGGCGGATAGCATTCGGCCCAAAACACATTTGGACTGCAACAGTCGTGGTTCGACCAACCACACATATCCGTATGTATGTCAATGCGGTGGACAGTCAGTATATGTAAAACCAGTAACCTTCACAGCGAGAGGGCACATTGTGTAGGACAATAACAGGCTTGTATCGTGATCGGTGCCAGGATAATGCTGCCTATGCAGAGAAGAAAGGCTGTAATTTATCGCTGTTCTTACAAACATTTTGCATACTGGACAATCAAGTAATCTCTTTCAAATACATTAAACAAGTAATTTTCAATAGCTTGCATAGTTAGGAAAATTTCAAGGAGGGACGACTCCAACGTCTTTGCCACAGAGCATGTTTAATAATTAATGGGGAGTTTTATACAGTTGATGTGGTTGTGGAGAAACGTGACCTAGTTACAGAATAAGAAACGCTAGGCAGATGACTGCTTCACATCAAGTAGTTTTAGTTTACAAAATTAAAGATGGTTGTTACGATCGTCACAGACTAGCGATAGTCAAGGTACAGTAGCATAGAACCAAGAACGAACATGTATGCAGCATTGGGAAAATTGATCATTGCAAATCTGAATATTGAGGTTTAACACTATATCGTGAATCGCGGATTAGTGTTAATTAACTTGGGCCTACTTAAACAAGTCAAGTTGTTCCTGCTATCAAATACTAAACCAACAAAATGTTACCTGGGTGATGTTCCTGTACTGAAGATTTACATGTCGTCCTAAGACGTGGTAAGCCAAGACGTCCTCCCTCGATACCGCGGACTCAAGGTGAAGTGTTTGATACGAAAGCTTTCGAGAACAAGACAGGCATGTGATCAATGAGCTTAACATGACAGGGCTGAAATCATTACTGAAGTAAGAAGTACAGATCGATTTACCCCGAACATACATCTGCAAGTCTCACTGAACCAAATGCTGTGATAAATTAAGCATCGAGGTTGTGTAATATTCATGAGTCTGTGTAACTGGCTGTTTGGGAGAAGGTTGCAGGAACTTTTGTCTTTGTGCAAATAGGTTTTCAGTTAACGATACAGTGATAAAACTCTAATTGAAGGAAATATACAACTAATTCAGACTGACAAGCCATTATTTTCCTGAATATGTTTATAAATGACTCTCTTAAATGATACTAAGCCGAATTGTACTTAACGGAACTAAGTTGACTGTGGCACATCAAGGGCAATATTTCAAGTTTGGAAACTTAAATTATCGTTTTATGTATTTGCCACCTATTAGTCGTAAGTTTTGACATTTTTTACATTGAATTCAGTTGGTGAATTTGAACTTAATATCTAATCAGTCCTTAACACTAAGAATGGCAACAATTTTGACAAATATATTTAAAAGTATTATCAAATTATACACACTGCTCTCCAATATTAAAAGGGTGCGTCAAGCCACTCTTGCCCAGAAGTTGTTTGATCAAGGTTACAACATTCGGGGCCTCAGTGAAGCTTTTCAAAACGTTTTATGGTAGAAAATTCCAAATTTGATGCATCAATTACAATACTTGTCCGATGCAATTCCTTATTTTGACTTATACCATACGTTCCCGAATTAGGATCGTTCCGGAATTTCAGGTGAACATATGACTAGACTTAGCATATGTTTGTGATGGGTGACACTGGTGGGGCAGGATATACTCACCACTTCGCGAACACTATTTTATAGTGGTTCATAAACACATGCTCTGTCATTGTATCACATGGTGACAATCACTGGATTGTCTGGTCCAGACTCGATTTGTTTACAAACAACATCGTACAGCTGTAATACTGCTGAAACAAATATATACTCATGACATTGTCACAATTGTACAATCGACTTCTTCTGGGCTTGGAAAGCATTTTGTCGCGTCTGAAACGTTCCCAGAACAGAAACGGTGTCTGATCGCCAAAACGCGCTGAGCTGAGTATGTTAATGAGATAATTTTAGTGATTTGAAACAGGTTTTGTGTAACTAGTAATAAATGATTTACTTCGCGGAAGAATCGTAAGATAAACACAATAGAATCGCTGTTCCCACACATTGTATGGGTTGGGTGTTGCATGTCGATTCGATTTCTTTACAAACAACATCGTACAGCTGTAATACAAC